GTTTTGTTCTGATGTTTTGTTATATCCTCTTTTATGTTAATCTTTTTAAATGAAAAATAAAAATAAAAGAAATTTCCAAATCAAATTATCATTTGACATGGTTGCAACACATATTTAACTACACATGATAAACTAATATTTAAGATTATAAAAATTTAATATTCTTATTGTATTATTTCTAGCATCCTCAAAAATACCATTTTGAATAAATTCTTAAGTATATTTGGTTGGAGAAGATGAAGAAACACGTACTGAGTTGAATCTTAATTTCAAAAAATGTTACATTACAGATCAATCAGTTTATCTTTTTGAGATAGTACTGTCATCATTAGTAATTGTTTACTGAGTATCCAATATGTATAAAATATTACATTAGGTTCAGAGTGCATACAGAGATGCACTCCAGTCCTCAATGAATAAAAAATTTTAAATGATCATAAGTTTAATACTATTCAGTATGTGTTATGGTTTGGGTCAAAAATATTTCCCCAAAATGCATTTATTCAGAGACAGGGATTTTTGTAGGTGATTTGATCATTGAGATGCCAACCCTATCAATGGATTAATCCATTAGTGAATTCAGGGGCCTCCCTGGAGAAGTCAGATCATGGAGAACATTAACCTGCAAGGGCCGCCATATATCTGTCTTCTCTTCGTGTGTCCTGGCTGCCGTGGCTTTGTCCACCTTTCTCATCGTGCCTTTCTGCCGTGATGCTTCTTTGCTAACCACAGGTCTAAAAGTGATGGAGCCAGCAGACCACCAGGCAGAAAACTCTGAGATATTGAGCCAAAATAAATTTTCCTTCTTCAGGTTTTTGCTTGCAAGTGTTTTGTCATGGAGATGACTAATATAGTGATATAACAAAGAACTCATTATTATTATTTAAAAAAGATTGATTTCTACAAGCTGTGTATATTCCCTTGTCTTAAAAAAATTTCAACATAAACTGATAAAGCTTTTTGGAACACTAAAACAATTAAATAGTGCCTTGAGTCCTACAAGAAATGATAGATGTAGAAAGCTCTCCTTTTAGTTAGTGTTTGAGCTTTAGAAGGCAGGTTTCTGACTTTGGTTTTTCTTTTTCTTTTACCATGTGTTGCTCCTTGTAGTATTATCTCATTTTTAATAGTCAGAGGATGTGAAAAAATAATGAACAAAATGTCTTAAGATAGCATTTCACTGTCTTTTCTGGTCTTCTTGAGATACTTTTGAGCACAAAAGAATAAAATGTGATTATAATTTGTTTTCTGACAAGTTTTCCTGTATTTATGAATATTAAAGTAGTAATCTAATAGTAATTTAGCATTGGTGATACCAGCAAATCTTTGGGAGTTATATTTCGCCTCTAACTTTATACTAGCTGCTACTGTTTCAGTAGCCATAATGCTTTTATTATTTCATTTCTACCCAAAGAAGATGATGGAATGCATATGCTTTTTCTCTTACATATCCTGTACTTATGATTGGATATTATGATCCAATATATTCTTTTGTAATTTTAATCTTGATAGGAAAATAAAAATATAAAATCACTGTCATATTTTAGAGAGCTCATAGTTTATTTGAGTACAATTTGTAGATCTTTGGAACTATAAAATTAAGCAGAGTAGAACCACACAGACCAGTAAGGAGAGTCAAAAGGACTTCAAGCCTCAGGAAGAGCCCTGCAGAAACACAACCAGTCAGCCACTGGGAGGTTTCTGCGATGGTGTCCGCAGGGCAGTAGGCTGGTGCGGAACACAGTGGGTAAGAACGTTTAAATCCAGCTTTTGACAGCAAGAGTGGACTCTTTAAAAGACTCTCTGAGTTTTCTATACTCCTGAATTCTAGCTCCCATTATCCATTTCAAGGTTGAATATAGACAAGTAACTTACATTCCTCAGGAAATCAGAATTGGAGGATTTGCAATAATTCTGAACACAATTTACATGAATAACAAACTATATTAATGCAGAGAAGGCCAAAATTAGAAAAGATGCATAATAACATTGAGTTAGAGAAATATATTTCTATCATAGAGCAGGAATGTCTATGTCTGATTAGAGAATAAAATTTTCTAGTAAGACAATGAAGAAGGAAAAAGCCAATTTTTGTTCATTATATTTTTAATCTGTACATATAAATTTTGAAAAGAATGTGTGCTTTATTTCCTTTTTTCCTCTGTACTGAACACTGAACCTAGGGACGCCTGCACACTAGAGTGCTCTGCCAATGCCTCATGCCCTATGTCCTTTTAAAATTTTCTTTTTTATTTTGAGACAAGTCTTGTTACATTGAGCAAAATGGGCCAAACTTGCCATCCTCCTTTGTTATTCTCCCAAGCAGCTGAGGTTACAGGTGTGTGCCTCTGAATGGCTTTGTGCCTCCTCTCAGACTGGAACTCCTGACATGCTTCTCATCATCAGCATGGAGCACCTCTGAAGTCACGGTGCAGGAGGCAGGAAGCTGTTCTGGACCCATGAGAACATTATTCTAGGAATGTAAGGCTATTCAAACTCTGACCCTTTTGATCAGTGAGTAACATTACCGGAGAAATGGTTCCCTTGCTAACTTCAAGTGGACTCGGTTACATGAGGTCTCTGGAAGCTCTAACACCAGCTGTGCCCAGAGCGTGAAGGTCGCCGCTTCATAACCTTGTGTTGGCCTTTTCTCCTCTTGTTTCACTTGTCCTTTTTAAATCTTGAAGCATATGTTTATAATCACATGAAAATAAAGTTAAAACTGTCACTGGCACAATTCTCTTTACCCATCTCTAGCTGTTCTATTCTATCTATTTCTATGTTTCTGATAATTATTTTTAAAAATCACAAAACTGTCTTTCTTGAATAGGTCTCCTAATAAGTCATGCTAGCTTATCCTAACTGAATTATTTTTTGTGAGCTGATCCAACATATCATCTTGTAATGTGTTGCTGTCTAATATTTTATGTCTTCAGCCTTAAAATTACCTTTTTCACTGTCAATGCACATTCATACCTGCTTTGTTGAAAATTTAAGACTTCAAGATTAACTTTCCCTTCTCCTTTTGCTTCCTCTTCCTCTTCTCCTCCTCCTCCTCCTCCTTCTTCTCCTTCTTCTTCTTCCTTCTCCTCCTCCTCCTTGTCCTGCTCCTCTTCTTCTCTTTAGTTCTACATAGTTTTTCCAATTGATTTCTCCTTTCTCCCAAACAAAACAAAAGCAAAAAAACTTTTGAAAATCTTGTGTAATTCTACTCTTTTCCAGTATTAGAAGAGGGGCTTTTAGAGTTAATTTATTCCCTGATGCTCTTGAGTGTATACAATATAAACTATTGATTTCTCAAGCCCTTTCTTTATAAATTTTTATATCTTTCCTCAATTCTCAAAGGCTCTTTTTGGTAATTAAAACTCACTTTGTTTGTTTTTTAACACCATCTCCATTCTTCTTTACCAGGAACTTTCCTTTCCTTTTTTTTTTTTTTTAATTCAGTGGAACATTCACTGAAATAATATCACTTACTTAGTCCCTAAATCCTGAAACTTAATATCAATCTCTATTAGTTGTTGAAAATACTGTCTTAAAGGCCAGTAAGGAATAAAATCATTAACTCCTGTAGCCTTTCCTCCATCATCATACTTGATCACATTCCAGCATTTTCCAGTTAATTTGAGATTTATATTACGACATCATAAGTACTTCTACTTGTCACGTGTCTTCCTCTGACATTCTTAATTATTATCTCATGCAGTTTCTCTGTAAGTTCTCTATCTCATACTTATCTGGTTCCTACACTACATTCTTACTATATTGTTATTATTTCTCAGATTTTGCATTAGTTCTCCTAGACAATAAATTGGACCACAACTTGAAATTGTCTGGTGTAGAACTTCACATTCCATGGAGTCCTTCTTAACTCACTTCTTCTGTTTTTATTTCTTTGTTCTTTGAATACTAATACATTCTCTTAAGGCATACTATCCCATTATACTTTTGTTATTATTTATTAAGGAAAAATAGATAAATATATTTCAGAAAGACTATGAAATTTTAAATACAGTTAAAAGAAATACAGACTTTCTGTTAGTAAAATGCTATTGAATGGAAAAACCTCTTCCCTGAATTTCTCATTAAAAACTGAGTTTTATACTAAACTGGATGAACATTCACTAATGTATTTTATGTTGAGTTCACAGTTGGAAATGTTTGAGGTTTTTCATTATTTGTTATTAGTTGGATATTTGTTGATGCTAAAATGGACTCGAAAACTAAAAATAACCCTCAGGCTTCAGAGCTAACTTTCATTTGATAATTAAGACAGAAGAATTTAAAATTAGAGGATCAGTAACATTAGTAAGCAGACAGTGTGGAAATGTCCTATGGGTGTGTAAAGTGGAAAATTATGTGATAGCTTGTAACTATATTCTGGACTCTAGGCAAAGCATGTACCATCATTAGGTTATTGCATACTGAATATCTGTTATTTAAGTACCATTTAGTCCTAATGAATTTGGTAAATGAGATCTCTGATGAATTAAAGAGCAATCAAGGCCTCATTTTAGATTCTATACCATGTAGGTCAAGGAGTTCCAAAGTGATATGAGTGAGATATACATATATATATATATATATATATATATATATATATATATTCACTCAATATATAGAAGACATCAACTTTCTTATCCAGCCTCTGATTCATTCTTTAGCAAGTATGCATGAAATGGGATTTGTGCTGTAGGGAGTATCATTATGTGGTGAGTGGTAGTTGATTATATAAAAAGCTCATTAGACTGTTTTCTTCCCGCAGGAGTTTCATTTCCATTTTTGCTAATTTTTCTCAATTACTCTGAGAGTTTCAATATCAAAGGCATTGAAGAATTTTGTTTGAGTCAAAAGGTAAAATGACTCTCTCCTAGCAAGTCAGTGAAAGGCCTATAATAAATGTGAAAAGAAATGACGAGGCACGCTCTACATTCACCCTGTATTTGTCTCACCTGTTTCAGAGGTACAAATGACCCTGTGGTTTTATTTGGAACTTTCAGGAGCGGATCCGGATCATCAGTCTTCAGGAAGTGCAAGAGGGGTGTCAGAAGAAACCCATGTCTGCCTGCCCTGCAGAGAGGGCTGTCCTTACTGTGCTGATGACCGCCCATGCTTTGTCCAGGAGGATAAGTATTTACGACTTGCCATCATCTGCTTCCAAGCTCTGTGTATGCTGCTGGACTTCGTCAGCATGCTGGTGGTCTACCACTTTCGCAAAGCAAAGGTAAAAACAGGTACCCCGGTTACGATCTTCCTTTTTATTATGAAGTAATCTCTTTTTTTTTTTTTAAAGTAGAGTTTCCAAGTGCTACTACCTTTTTACTAAACAGAAGTCTTTTTGTGTATCATATGAGTGGGTAAGAGCATGAAAATTATATATTACTTAGCTGCCCAGCAAAAATAGGGATTTAATATGATACTTCAACATATTCTTTTGCAAGCTGATTCTCCCTCTTTAATGTGGGTTTGGATGCCTAATTGCATTGAAGAACTCCCTTGATATCATCTCTGTGGTCTGTCAAGGAATTTAGTCTGTGTGCACTGAATGTATTGTTAATTTTTTCTAAAATCTTTATTGTGTGTTTTGTTTCATTTTTCTCTTAGTCCTATTTTAAGGTGATAAATGCCATAACTATTTTTGAGCACATTGTACCCTGAGGAATAAACTTATTACAACCTTATATTGGGTTTTGCTCTAGGTGTCCCCACATGACAATGGTGCTTTGACTACCTCAGCTTTTGAGAGAATCTGTTCTTTTGTCCTGTTCTAAGAAGTCAGTAATATAAGCAAGTGTATGTTTCTTAATCAGAAGCTGACAAAATGTTAAAAAGTTCAGGGCAGAGTTTTTGAAGGGCGCTCCATGCAAGGGTCTCCCAGTTAATGAAATATAGCCAGTATTATGTTAGAATTTATGGTTCTTCTGTTTATAGGAGGGTTTTTTATACTATTAAAAAGAAACACTAAGATTAAAGTTTCAGCCTTTTCTGAATTTGAAGGCAACCTTTTACAGATTGGTTTAGATTATAGTTTCCTGAAAGTATAAAGTGTTCCCATTAGAATTTTTTTTTTAAAAGCTACTTTCTGTGAGTCGTATTTATTACAAAGCTTCAAGCAAACTTTTAAAAAAGGCTTTATTAAGGTTGTAGGAGAATGTATTCATTACGTTAATGTTACAGGTTTTTGTAGTTATTTTAAATAGAAAGTTTCATTAACAGAAGCAAACTGCACAAATTAAAATCCACTTTGAGTCAGCAATAAAGTACAAACAGGCAATTCTCTTCACTTAATTAATTCTTGTCTTTCTGTTGCAATGAACTATGTGTTAAATCCTGTATATAAAATAGTAGGCAAATGGAGGTAGGACATATGTAACACCTAACTAAAATTGATGGATGTTTTAGGAGCCTATCTGTGACAGAACAGGGGAAATTGAAAGGTGCATTTAATAAATTGTTCTGAAACCTCTCTGATATAATGAATTCATTTAAACAGCAGATAATACACAGTTCTTTATGAATCTTAATTGACCTTATCATTAGTGATCGCTGATGGACTGCAACCCACACGAAGCCAGATCAGACACTCTGCCTCTAGAGAGAAGCTTTATTGGGTGGTGGGTGTTGAGGTGGGGGGTGGGCAGACTGCCTTGGGGACCCAGACAGCCACTGCTTGGCTTGGGAAAATGGGTTTTGAGGGTTGTTTGTGGCGGGAATTATCTCTGTGCATGAGCCAGGTGTGAATAGCAGAGTGTGACACGGTCATCATCAGGCACCCGCCTGGACAGGGTTGACTTTTGCAGTTGGAACAGTTCTGGCAAGTTTCTTTTCTTGCAACCCAAGCATGAACAGGCTCGGCGGACAGGCTGACCCTTTAATTGCTGTGCTAAATAAATGAGTTAGTGATACATAGTGGTTACATTATCACCTTGAATATTGAGAAAACTGTGATATGCTCTTCTGGCTAGATCCATGTCATAATCTAGTTAATGTTACTCAATATTGACAAAGTTACTAACCTTTCACATTTATCTGAACCTTCATGTGAAATGGCAGCTTACTTAACAAAAATTATGAGGCTAGATAACTTCACATATCATTTTGTCACAGTTATTATAGATATATAGTATTTGGAATAAGCAAATTTGACTTTATTTAGTTTGAAGATGGTCCCCTTTTGAAGAATGTAACATAATCAAAGGGGGATATGAGTTAATAATGTCAATGATAGATTTTGTATGTTGAATAAATGAAATGTTGAAATTTTTTCTTGTGCCTTTGAATTATCAAAGGCAATGGATTAATTATAAAATCAGTAAAATATATCCATATAGAGATTATACATTTATATCATTTAGAATTTTGGTTTGCTTTGTAAAGGTTTCATGTGTCTTTGAAATGTTTCTTTAGGTAAATTATAATAAACAAATACAGTACATAGATAAAATATAATAAGCATATAAAGTACAAATAAACACAAAAGATGCACCCTCGTATTCCCAGCAGCAATATGTACAATAGTCATAATGTGGACATCACCCAAATGTCTATCAACTGATAAAATATATGGAATGTGACATTTCTGTACAATGGACTATATCATTTGTTAGTGAAAAAGAATATAAATAAATAAAATGCTGAGTACAAGAAACAGTTTCAAAAGATTGCCTATTATGTGATTCCATTTATATAGAATGCTCAGATTGGGTAAATTCATATGGATAAGAAGTACATTGGTAGTACTCCAGGGTCTACCAAGAGCTAAGTGGGAAAGGACAGTTTGTGAGTTCAGGATTTCTTTCGGGATGATACAATTATCCTAAAAATTAGATGATGGTGATGCCTGCACAACTTGGTAGTACATTTAAAATGAATCTTAAAGTATGTGAGATCTATCAAAACAAAGACATAAGTGTTTTAAGGAGGCCATAGATTACCATTGCATAAGATTGCTTTGAAAAGTTCATGAGATAATTCATTTAAAACATATTATAATTAATCTTTACTAAGCATTTTACTATGCAATTGTTTTGTCATTTTGGACCTCTTTTTAAAATTAATAATCCATGTATGCTTCCCACATTGGAGGCCAAGTGTGATAGTTACAATATTTGAAAGTATAAGATGTTTGAAAATATACTTATGGCTGCTTAAAGTAGAGATCCAAGATCAGTAAGTGCTCATTTGTAGTTGTACATTAGACCACAGATGTATTTCTATGCTGAAAATCTTTTAAAAATTTACTATGCATTTATTTATATGTGACTGTTTGTCCTTTTAAAAATAATTACATGTGCAAAGAAAATGTAGCTTATTTATCTATTCATCTATATCATTGATCTTTCTAGGAAGGTTCAATTTTCATCCCCTCCCCCAAACTAAGAGTCTTGGAGCTCTCTTCTGATAATCAATGAAGTCATCAGGGTATTAATGATGAGGACAGATTATCCTTGTTGTATCATAACAATAACAGTTTAAAGGTTGATAATATATAAATAAATTTTAAGTTCTTTTCTGTTTTTTACTCAGCCAGGTGAAAAAAATCTGAAGCAAGTAAATTAGCAACTTGGCAAGGTCTTGTCTAAAATTTTTTTTTTTTTTAAAGGTTGTGGAGGTAGCTCAGTTTGAAGGTCTTTAGTACAATCCCAATACTTAGGAGAGGGGAAACACTGAAGGAAAAATTTGAGAACTAGAACTAGATTTCATAAATCAGAAAACTCTGCTGCTGAATCTAAGAATTTCTGATAGGATAGGCAGGTGAGTTGGGAAATGTATGTATTTATATTTTATCTTGGACCAGCTCATAAAAAAAAAAAAAAAAACACTTCTAAGAGACTGGATACATAAATGAGTATGTTGTAGCTAAATGAAAGTAAGGACAAAAAAATTACTTGAAGGAGAAGGTGAAGTGAAATTATATAATAGTAATGGTGGATTCCATGAGGGTATCTGTACTCTTTTAACCCATCACCTTTACAGGGTTTTCTAGCAGCAAGGCTAACAAAAAAAAAATAAAAACAAAATAAGCAGTCAAAGAATGAATTGCAGTGTCTGTTAGATAAAAGGCAACCAGTCATTGAGAGGAGACATTTCTTTCACTGATTCTTGAAAGAGTATTCTCCTATACATCCTTGTATATAGAATATTTTAAAATGTAGTGATAAATATCTGTATGTGAAATATAGTATAATTTTATAGATTTATTTCTATAAATTTTCCCAAATATGTGCTAAACTTTGAAAACTTAAACATAGCTCAAACGAATCACTTGTATACAGTCTAACTCACTGTTCTTTGGTGTTTGATGCTAACACAGAAATACTGTTTGAGTGACAATATCATACCTGTTCTGCATACAACATACATGCCACCACCACAAGATTTATGAGAGACACATGCCTATCTCATTTCATCCAGAATCAGCTAAGACATCATATTACCATAATACTTGCATACCATGTTTATAGAATCACAGTTGATAATACCTAAATCTTGGAAGTGGCCTGTGTGTCTGTCATCAAATGAATGGATGGAGAAAACGTGGTATTTACACACAACAGAAAACTGCTTTGCTATTAAGAATGATAAACCTGAACCATTTTCAGGAAAATGGATATACTTTGAGACCATAATGTTTAGTGAAATAAACCAGATACATAAACTTTAATATCATATAGATTTTCCTATATGAGAAAGCCAAAATATAAAAGGAAAATAAAAGACAGATAATAGGAAAAAGTGGGGGTAGATCTTTTGCAAAAGGGAAGGGGACTGAGAGATGGAGCAAGGGGAAAGGGACAAAAGGAAGGGGACTTAAAAAGTATTAAGATGTGTAATCTACATGTACTAACTCCCCACCAGAAATGTAATCATCAAATGCAAACATATAGCAATAAAAAATACTGAATAAGAAAGAAACATCTTTATCAAACAGGACTCAAATCAGGTTGGATGCATGAAGTCTGTTTGTTATTCTGATTCTGGAAAGGCAGAAAAATTACAAATTCTTTCTGTAAAAGTTCATAAATCTGAGGGGATGATTAAAAACTATGGTGAATATCAAAATTTAAAATGTATTACCATGGAAGACATGTTTCTGCTAATTCTCCTCAAAATACCCTCCTTCAGTTGAATACACTTGTCTCATAATTCTTACCCTGTACTGAAATAGATGTGGAAAGTCCTCTTTCATGAGTGGCTTTACAATTGTATGACTAAAGCTACAGT